ATATCTACATATTTAAATAAGAATTCAAAATACTACAGTGCGTAGTCGACCCACAATACTATTTGAAACCTCATTAGAAACGCAACTGATTTAGTCTATTACGTATTAAATTTTTTCGGGCAGTGATAATGCTCATAGGCTTTCCTCATATTTTGAATAACTGCGGAACATATCGCAATCCTTGTATTGAAATGCCGATGTTTCGTCACAATTTTGCAAAATACAATATTTTTTCGTAATCCTGATAATGAAATATCTCTGTCTTGTCATAATTTTTTAAAATAATAAATAAATTTATAACAAAGTAAACTGTCAAATGATCGGGAATTTAGAGAATAGTCAAATATATAACTAAAAAAAATAAAATAAAATAAAAATAAAATGTTTGACAACTCTTATTTGTAAAAATATCACATGTACTATTGTGGGCAAAAAATAGTAAGACTTTTTAACTCGTGACTCGTGTAAAAACCTATTCGCGGAAATGTTTTTTTCTAGGTTGATATGACTGACAGTGACAACTGTGCCAAATGTCACAACAAAATAATAATTAGCGCTGAGTATACGCTTGTCTTTCTAAAGTACATTAAATGCATTCGGCAATTTTTACGAGGAGTAAAAATGTTCAACAAAGAAGTTCCATTAAATTTTGTGTGCGGAATGAAAATTCTAGTATTAAAACATTCAGAATGTTGGAAAAGGCTTTCAGTGATGATTGTTTGTCGCGAGTAAGTGTTTTTAATTGGTAGAAATATTTCGAAGAGAGTCGAGAATGCGTTGACGAGGAACCACTTCAAGGACAGGCATCTGCATCAACTGAATAACACGTCAATAAAATAAAGGAATTGCTGCTTAAGCATCTATGATAAACAGTCAAAGATCTTACAGGCATCGTTGGAATATCGGAAAGATCAATGAAAACAATTTTGAAATATCATTTCGGTCTAAGAAAAGTATAAGCTTGAATTGGTTCCAAAAGCACTAATATTTTTCGAAAAACAGCATCACGTTAACGTCTGAGAAACAATACTTTCCGACTAACGGGATATAATTATTCGCCTTGTTTAACTTCACGTGAGTTCTGGCTATTCAGCAAACTCAAACGACCGCTCCAGGGAAACAGTTTTGAGTCAAATGAAGACGTTAAATGTGGATCGCAAAGAGTTCGGAAATTCACTTTAATGACTGTTTCGAGGATTGGAAAAAACATTGGCACAAGTGTATTGTCCACGACATAGATTTAGAAGAATAAATTAAGAACTTTAAAATTATGAAAAAAGGCTTACTATTTTTTTCTCATAGTAGTTAAAAATTTTTTCGAGTAAACAAAAAATTATTATTAAAATTAAATTATAAATTTGACGGCTTTTATCTTCATTCTCTAATACCACTTTCTATTTGTTTTCGAAAATTTGGCATATGAATATTTCATCGATCAACAGTTGCGGCAATTAAATGTTTTGTCTGTGACTCCAGCGATAATCCAAGTTGTGAGAATTTAAAATCAAATCAAAGCATGGCGGCAGAGGTAAGTGTCATAATTATAATATAAGAATAAAATATCTTACTTTGCTAATATGCCAATCTGAAATTTAAAGATGACAAGATAAAAAACACCCGAGTAAATAGGAAGAAGATAAAAAGCCATATGTAAATATGTTACAGTTCCAGAAGTGCAGCTTGTGAGAAATGTTATCACGTTGCAAATTTTGAAAGAAATATTTTGTTGAGCACTCTAGATACATTACCAATATTTTTTTTTAATGAAGCCCTCTAAAACTTCAAAAACCCTTTTGAGGTTCCTGCAATATTTCCAAAATTCCAATCAAGAGCTTAAATAGTGTCTCCAATCCATATTCTATAGGATCCTGTGCTTATATTAGTCTGCGATGGCTGCTTAGACATGTATGATCATAATTTTACGACTTGTTTTTATGAAATATAGCAAAAATGATAAACGGTATTCGGTTAGAAAATCTGAACTAAAGTGTACAGATGGGAGACTCTTAGGTACTTCGTTCTCTTGACTACACTTTAAAAGAGGTCACTATGTTTGTGAGAAAGTCCTAGTAGCTTAAAATTGACTAATTGGCGGAGGCTTTAATACTAACCTTATAAGTTGAGAAATTATTAAACAAAATCTAAAAATTTCACTTCCAAAATGATTGAACTGAATAATTGATTACCAACAAGGCACGTTCAAAATAATTCATTTTAAATAACAAACAATAGCAAAGCTGGTTTCGTAATATATAGGTCTAACAATAAAAGTTTGCATAAGATTAGCAAGCTAGAATGATCCGACTTGGATCAAATGCGCATCGGTTTGTTCAGCAACTTGTTATCCTTCTGAAAATAGTTTCATACTCTCAATCCTATTGACAAAAACGGGACCAATTGCTTTTCACAAGCATCTTTCATGATGAAAATTTATCAGCAGAACAAATAATACGCCTTAGAACAAGTAGTAATCACTCGGTGCTAGGTTCGAACTGTAAGGCAGGATAATGAAGCACAATTCTTTGCTTATTGTGTAAAATTTTCTGGTCCATTGATTTCAACCGCGATTCATAGAAATAAGTTATGTTCAAGAGTCTTTACATGGCGGTTGAATTCGACGATTTCCATTACTGTATCAATATTTTCGATAAAGCATGTTACATCTTTGACATCCAAATTTCCGGAACGGTATTGATGAAAATTATGTGTGATTGCATGGTTCAAAATAAACACCATTCACATTTTCAGCCGCTTGAATTTGCCTTTTTGTCTTTATTGAAAAAAAAAACTGTCAAATTTGGTACTTTCGCTTTGCTGTTGTCCATTTTTGATGCGTGCTTAAACAATACTGAGTTATGCAATTACAAAACCCATTATCTGAAAATATTTCATAGTACAAAAAACTATATTTTTAACGCCATATGGATATGCCATAATATATATGACGTCTCTGATGTTTGCATTCATCCGTTGTTGATCTTAGTATTTCTACAGCATTTCCTCTGCAAATTCTTTGCTTTCTTTACTTGCATTTGGCATGTAATGATACACATGTGACTGCGCCTAGAAGCCGGTAAGACATCTTCATGTGCGCTTGTCGCTGCATTTATCAATTTGTTTACTCTCGCTGGCAGCCACAATTGTTCAATTCTCAATTAGTAATCCAAACAAATTGTATTGTGCTTGTCTGTGGGATATGTTGGCCAAGTGCTGGAAGGCTGGTACAGGGGAGGTCGCTGTGACGGCGTGCATGACTAACGACCTCTTTCTTCCACAACTGAGGGTCACTAGCGATTTGGCGCTGGCGCGTTGCCAATGGCATTTATACGAAACTGGAGCTTAAAAATATATAATCTTTGAGAAACTAACGCAATTTCACTGGCGAAAGTGGTGTGGAGTCAATAAAGAAATGGAAGTACTAGCTTTAGTTGAGTGTTGGAGTCGAGGATTTGTGTGTTTTTGAAATGTGTCACAAATGTTTTGTGTAGAAAGATTATAAATTTCGTTGTTGTAGAATGTTACAAAAAATGTGCATGAGTCTGCCATAATCTGTAGGAAAATCTGTGAAAACTTTGTGTTAGGTCAACGATCTTTAGCATGAACAAAAAAGAATTTCGCTGCAAAGTTCCAAAGGATTACTATTTTAAGGAACGGAACTTCATTCTGTTTATACTCGGAGTTTTCATTTCAAATTTGACAATTTTCACTTATACAAATGCTATATTATAAAAGTCTAAGTAAATGGCGTTAGAAAAGACAAGATGTCGTACTAAAATTTTTCTCAGACTGTTTTAGGTTTGGTTCTCTCAGTATTGTTTGAGCACCGGTCAAAGCTAGATACCAGCAAAGCGAAAGTACGCCATATTTCACAGCGTTTCTTCGATAAAGGCAAACAAGTCAGGCGGCTGAAAACGTCAATGGTCTTATGGTCTTGTTACTTACTGTAACTTCTAATCACGCGCATTATGGTTTTGTGAATATCATTTCAGTAATTTTAATGTGAAAGATGTACTATAATTTGGCGCCAAAATATTGGTATCAAAAGTAATGAATCCAATCCGATTTCGATTTCGATTGCTCAAAAGCTAAACATTGCCTTGAAACCGTTTAGAACCATTTAAAACAGGGTGGGTACAAAAAGATGTTTAATTTACGGGTCCCACACGAGTTAATGAAAAAAAAGAAAACCATCATGAAGGAAGGTTTTGCTTATTTTTGGTGAGATTGGTAAAAAATGAGATGTTATGAGTTACTTCCGTTTGGTCAAAATCTTAATTTGAACCTGTACTGTCAACACAGTGAAGAAAGCTGTCAGCTTTGGTCAACAGGAAAGGAAATATATTCCATTGGGACAACGTTGCACTGCACACAGCGAAAGTGACTCCTTAGAAACTCTTGCAGCTTGGTTGATAGATTTATATGGTGCCACGTTATGCTTGTAGTGATGATCTAGCAAGTGATTACTACCTGCTCCCGTCTATGGCGACGAGTTTGGTCAATTTACTTCTTGCTTGTGAAAATCGAGCAGTTTATAGAAAATGATGAAAAGTTTTGAGAATTTTGTACTCAATGACCTATTTTATACAAAATTTTAAAATACTATTCTATAATGGAGCTTTTTCTTCAACTAAGAGTACAATAGACCAAAAGTCGCATAGCTCAATATTAATCAATATACTGTCCAACTAAATGCTACACACGCTTCTTTTCTTGTTTTAGCTTTCCACTTTGAAGAAATGGAGAACACAATTTTTTTCATAAAAATTTTACAATTACAATATATTCGTCAACTCGATTTTACGTCTCAAAACTAAGCATTCGAGTTGAAGCGCATGTCCATGGAACATGTACTTATGTAAATTGAACCAGAAGGTAAATATGGGAATAACTTGAGAAATAAAACACAACATCCCAGAAATTAGAAATCTGTAAATTCGTCATGGGGAGGAGGCAAGAAAAGGCTTAATAGAATTCTGATCGGTAACGAATATATAGTGATTCCAGTAAAATTTGACTATTATCTATAGTAACATAAACTTTTGATAGCAACTTACTCATCTAATTAACAAAATTGTTTAACTAGACAGTGTAATTTGGATTTCTGTGAATAAATCTTGCTGTGGACACAAAGATATTGAGCTTCATCAGCGCTTTATAGCAACCACATCTTTTTATCTCTAACCTATAGCTTCTGAAATTCTCAACAGTCAATCAAAACTTACAAAGCATTTCTTTGCTTTTATATTGGACTAATTCTATCCAAATATTTTATAAACAACTATTATATTTTATTTAACAGGAATGTACTTTAGACAAAATGCGAACAACCAATACTTGGCTTTTCGACTTAAATCGTTTTGCGTACTTCGATACCGGCGCTAGCAATGGACCGCTAATGAACTGCCAAAAAGTGGTGGCTAGAGATCGTAAGTGCGCCGTTGCATACTTTTGTTTCAAACTGCATCTGCAAATGCAAACATTTTTGTTTACACTTTTCTATAACAAAGGCTAATCTACAAACTTGTGAATATATTACAGCAAATACCGGCAAAATGGTGACAGCACGCTTCTGTCAGTTGGATACTGCCGATTCGGATGCCTGTCAAATATTGGGTAACAAATTGGGTTGGCCACCAGAGTTGGCGCGTAACGCTAACCTCGACGCGGATGACAAGAATAAAAAAAACAAGAAGCGTAAGGGCAAAGGCGGCAATAATAATGGCGGTGTAGACAATCTGGAAGATTCGGAGCTGCACTGTTCCATTTGCGGTACAGACGGCTGTAATGGCAGTTCAAGCATTTCGGCATGGAGTTGGTGGTGTGCCGGTACTCTACCAATGCTTATAGCAATCGTCAACATATTGCGTCATAGTGTGTGGTGAATGTGGAGCTTGAAAACTCTTGAAAACTCAAGTGGAGTGCGGCTGAGTTGGCAGAGTTTGATCGAATAAAAATTGAAATTATTACAAAAAAAAAGGTGCAATATAATTTTAAGGTTAAGTTCAATGGTCAATGTGTTGTTCACCGGCGTTTTGTCCTGTGCGTTCAAATTGTTTGGCAAAGTAGTTGCAGAGCGTTGAGGAGCATAGCCAGATAAATGCCTTGAGTTTAATATAGTTTTATGTGTAGAGTCCTGTCTCTTATACACATCTAGATGTGTATAAGAGACAGCAATTTTAAACGTTAAAAAATGCTGGCTTTAATAACTAACAAAATAAAAAATGATATAACATAAAGATAAATTGATGAAACAAAAATAAATGCAATAAAAAATTAAATAATAACTTAGACAAAAAATTATAAAATAAATTTAATGAAATAATATGAAATTTAACTGTGTCTTTCACCATATAGTATATAAAAAAAAAGCAAACATCTAAACAAATTATGTACAAAAAAATCAAAAATAAATAATTCGTAATCATTAAAATACTATATGTATGATTTTTAATTTAAATTTTATAAATATTAGATCAATAAAGTAGGTTTAATAAATTAAAAGTAAAATAAGTTAAAATTGGATAGTTTTCGTGAGAGAGTCAATAAAGCTAAGCGAAGAAGAAAGCTAACATCAAAATAATAAAACAAGAAGAAAATTTCCTAAAAATCAAATAAAAATAAAACCATATTTTTGAATTATATTGAATCATATTTGATGTTCATATAGCATAGTTAGACTTTATGCATTCCTAAAAAAACTGCCGGCGGCTTCAAGCGCACCCGTCGCTGTAAAACAATTTTTGATGAACAGCGCGCTTCCTAATGAGATGTTTTTCTCATCCGTGCGTAATTTAAAAGATTAAGAAAATTTGTTAAAAATATACGCTCTACCAAAGATTCTCCGTATATTCAATCACTGTTTCCCAATAGTACAACGCTCCAGTGAAGTCATTTGCTATGCATGTTTGGTTTACTTTGGTTGCTAGCAGTTAGAAGAAAACTGGTGTAACTGGGTATATCCAATCTGTCAGTTGAAGATGGGTTCTCAGTACAGAAAAACAATTGATGAGTTGGAGGATGGTGACAAAAGGAATGATAGAAAGATATAAAGTTGGAAATAATGGATTAGCTACATATATATAAAACCGAAAGAGATAGCACTTCTGATTATACTCTTTACTCAGTTCATGTCGAAATTATTTCGGAAATTTACTAAACAAATCTGCAAATTAGTTTAAGTTTACTGAAAACTGCAGTTTAGTAGCGTTGTAACCGTAACTTTGAGTAGTACAAGAGTACAATATCAATCTCTTCATTTTCCACAAAATAATTCGTATAACTTCTGATTGTTACAAGTTTCTAATTAAAGCTACATAAACAAAATAATCCACATACTAGTAAGAAATTACATATTATATATTATA